AGGAGGAGGAGGAGGAGGAGGAGGAGGAAACGGACGAGGACGATGGAGGAGGGAGGGAGGGAGGGAGGCAGGGAGGGAGAGAGCAGGGAGGAGGAGGGTGGATGTGGAGGGAAGAGGGGAAAGGGAGAAGATGAGGAATTGTCTCAGTCTCTCCGTCCGCCCTTTGCCGCCCCTGCTCTCAGCAACTCTGCGCCAAGGTCAAGCTGCGGTCGGAAGCGAAACCAGGCTCCAGCCGCGCCTGTCTGGCCGTCCCGTGGAGGCAGGGGAAGGAGGATACGTCAATAGAAAGAGAAGGACCTGGATGAGGGTGAGGGAAAGGATGGGGATGATGATGGGGATGAGGAAGAGGATGTGGATGATGATGCTGATGCTGCTGATGATGATCTTGGTGATGATGCTGATGATGATGATGCGTATGATGATGCTGATGAGGATGATGATGCTGCTGATGATGATGATGGTGATTCTGATGCTGATGCTGATGATGATGCTGATGCTGATGACCATGTTGATGATGCTGATGATGAGGATGATGATGATGATGATGATGATGATGATGATGATGAGGATGGTGATGATGATGCTGCTGATGATGATGCTGATGATGAGGAGGAGGATGATGATGATGATGATGATGATGATGATGGTGATGATGATGATGATGATGATGATGATGATGGTGCTGATGATGATGCTGCTGATGATGATGATTATTATTATGATGCTGATGCTGATGCTGCTGCTGCTGCTGATGCTGCTGCTGATGATGCTGATGATGATGATGATGATGATGATGGTGATGATGGTGGTGATGGTGATGCTGATCGTAAGGCTGCCGCCTCTGCCGCCGACCCCAGATGGTTTGGGATTTTTGACGTCAACGAGGCAATAGTCGTTCGACTGTTCCAGTTGCGTGCTTTTCCAGAAGACCACGAACAGCCGGCGGCCTGGCTGAACGGTCTTAGGCCGCTTGACGTTCTCGGGGTTCGTTTGGTGGGGCTCTTGGAGTCGTCTTCGGCCTCCCTGGGGTCCTTGAGGGCCGTCCGAGAGATTCCCCCAGGCCGAGTTGTGGTGTTCTCGGGACCCTCTTGGGCCGTCTTGGAGGAAGTCTCAGGAACGGCGAGGAAGTCTAAGCGAAACGCCCGGCCCGCCCTAAACACACGTCTGGTTGTGCGACAGGGAGGAGCTATCTATAAGGACAAGGGATGGAGGACAAGGAGGGGAAGGACGAGGACGAGCAGGAGGGAGAGCATAGAGGGGGTGAAGGAGGGACGGGAAGGGGCCTCGCTCGCTCTCTCTGTCTCTCTCTCTCTCTCTCTCTCTTTTGCCTCTCTCTTTCTCTCTCTCTCTCTCGGTATATATGTATATTTAGGTGTACGCACACACACACATATATATATATATATGCGCACAGGAATGCGTAAACACGTGTGTAAACGATGAATGTATGCATATGTCTCCTCTTCTCTTTCCTCTCTCCATCTCTCTCTAACTCCCTTCTTTGTTTCCACCCCACCTGTTGTTGGGTCTTCGTTTTGAAGAGACAGTCCCCTCGTTGCTCTCTCCTTCCTTCTTCCTCCCCCTCCTCCCTCCTCCCATCCCTGCCTCTGCCCTGCGCATGTCCTCGTCGTACCATCATCATCATCATCATCATCATCATCATCATCATCATCATCATCATCATCATCATCATCATCATCATCATCATCATCATCATCATCATCATCATCATCATCATCATTAGCATTGTTGCCAACCATCCTGTGGTGTTGGGTCCTCGTTTTGAAGAGAGCGCCCCGCGTTCCCTCCTTCCTTCCTCCTCCCCCTCCTCTTTTTTTCCATCACCCCCCTCACTTTGGCACACCCCTCACACGTTTCGTGGCCCCATAGGAGCTCCACCAAAGGTCTCAGTGCTACCGTCCGCATGCGTCCCCCCCCACCCAGTACAGCGTTTCGTGGCCCCGTAGGGAGCTCTACCGAAGACCCCAGTGCTACGGCCCGCATGCGTCCCCCCACCCAGTACAGCGCTTCGGGGCCCCATGGGAACTCCACCGACGGTCCCAGTGCTACCGCCCGCACGCGTCTCCCCAGCCAGTACAGCGTTTCGTGGCCCCATGGGGAGCTCCACCGACGGCCCCATCGCTGCGGCAAAGTTCGCATTCGCCCCCCCACCCAGTACAGCGTTTCGTGGTCCATAGGGGGCTCCACCGAAGACGATACCCGCGACTGCGGGACCCACGACTGCATATGGTTGGGGCCTTCGCCGGGTTAGTTCTTTTCACCCTACCTCTCTGAGGTCCCCGGGCCCGCAGCACCCGGTGGTCCTGCCCGTTGCCGCCTCGAAGCCAATGCCCGAGGAGGAAGCAAGGCATGTGGCGGAGTGGGACGAGGAGGAAGATGATGGAGGAAACGGAGGATGGGGGAGACAAAAAAGAGGCCCCCGCTTCCGTCAGCTGGGAGGCTGGCAGCGTTCATCAGTTGGGCGCGTCAATTGCCCAGCTCCTAAGGGGGGCATGTGCAAGTGCATGCGCGCAAGCGTGAAAAACAGCTCCGTCGAAGCAGAACCACTGCCCCTCCCCCCTCGGTTCGCTTCGATCCGACCGGCCCGATGCGATGCCGATTGCAGCTGGCCCGAGCCGCTTCGGTTCCGATGCGCCGACGCCTGGACACGGCCCGATGCTTGCGTGGCGCTGCAGACTCGACCCGATGTCGATACCCGTGCCGATGCGGCCCGACCCGACGCACGTGCCGATCTGAGCCGAGCTTCCGATCTCCCGTGCTCATCGATCCTGCCCCTCCGCTCCCGCGAGGTGCGCCGGCGAGGCGGCCCAGCAGCACGGGGCTGCCGGCCGCGTCCCCGCAGGGGGGCTCGGCGCCAGGCGGGCCCCCCGCCCTGCCGAGCGCGCGGAGAGGGGAGGGGGGGCGGCAGCGAGCGGGCGGGGAGGAGGCGGCGGCGGAAGCGGAGGAGGGGGAAGGGACAAGTTTGGTGCGCTCGCGTCAACATCTGACATCCTACCCCTCCTTTCGATCCCTTACCATGGCGCTGATTTTCTCTATCCGCGGACGCGTGTCGTAGCGGACCTGTGGCTCCGCGCGCGTGTGCGTAGTGGGTGGTGGTGCGCGTGCGTGCGTGCGTGCGTGCGTGTGTGCGTGGTTGTGGTTGTTGTGGTGGTGGTGTGTGTATGTGTGTGCGTGTGTGCGCGTGTGCTGTGGTGTGACGTGGTGTGGCGTCTTGGTGGTTTGGTGGTGGGCCAGGTGCGTACGTGCGTGATGGCGGTGGTGGTGGTGGTGGTGGCGGCGGTTGTGTGTGTGTGTGTGTGTGTGTGTGTCTGTGTCTGTGTCTGTGTGTGTGTGCGTGTGTGTGTGTGTGTGTGTGTGTGTGTGTGTGTGTGTGTGTGTGTGTGTGTGTGTGTGTGTGTGTGTGTGTGTGTGTGTGTGTGTGTGTGTGTGTGTGTGTGTGTGTGCGTGTGCGTGCGTGCGTGCGTGCGTGTGTTCGTACGTGCATGTATGCGTGCGTGTGTGTCTGTGTGTGCGCGCGTGTGATGTGGTGTGACGCGGTGTAGCGTGGTGGTGGTGGGTGGGGTAGTGCGGTGGTGGTGGCGGTGCGCGGTGGTGGCGCGTGCGTGCGTGCGTGCGTTGGTGGGTGGAAGTGGCGGTGGGTGTGCGTGCGGCGGGGCGGGGCGTGGTGCGGCGCGGTGGTGGCGGGCGGATGGGCGCGCGAGAAAGAGGCCCGCGCTGGGGCGAGAACGCCATCCTGAACGACGGAGGCAAAACACCGATCCGAAAATGAGGCCCACGCTGCAGCGGGAGCACGATTCGGAACGATTCGGGAGCAGAAATGAGGCCGGCGCCTCAGCGAGAGCAGCATTTTGAAAAAAACGCAGGCGAAAACCCAACTCCCGGGAATCCTGTGTGTAGAAAACAGTACGCGGGGGGGGTCGAATATTCCCTGGACGCAGGGGAAGAGGGAGAGTAGTATTCATATTGAGTAATTGTGGAGGGAGGAGGGGAACGGGAAAAGTGGGCGATGAAGAGTGATCGGGGAGGGGGATGGGGGAGGGAAAGGAGCGGCGGAGGGCGGAGGGTGGGGAAGGCGGAGGGAGGGGGGGAGGAGGGAGGATGGAGGAGGAGGAGGTAGGAGGAGGAGGACGGGGGCAGGAGGAGACGGGGGAGGAGGGAGAGGAGGAGGAGAGGAGCCAGGAAGGATGAGGAGGAGGAGGAGCAGGATGATGAGGAGGAGGAGGTGGAGGGGGAGGATGATGATGATGCTTGTCAGAAGTCCATGAGCCTGTGGGTGCCAAAACCGATGGGGAGACCGAACACCAAGCACTGGGCATCCTCCTGAAACAAGGTAGTTGGGAGGAGGAGGAGGATGAGGAGGAGGAGGAGGAGGGGGAGGAGGAGGGAGCAACGTGGAGATGTTTTCGGCGGCTTCCGGCCGTCTCGGGCCATTTTGAAAGGCAATCGGTCTGCTTTCGGTTGCCGAAGAAAGCAACAACCTGGTCGCCGATGTTTGCCCAACATTGAAACTATTGGGGCGATGATGAAGAACAGGAGCAGGAGGAGGACACCTCTGCTGCCGCCCTTTGCCCCCAATCGGCCGAGGCAAGGGCAAGGGCAAGGGCCAGCAGAAGGGCAAAAGGAAGAGGCCAGACGGTTCGAGCAGCAGTTCGAGCAGCTCGAGCAGCTCCAGCGACTCTGCCGATGGGAGGCCTCTGCGCTGGCCTTAACTGCCTTTGCGGCGGGGGGGGGGGCGGGGAGGAGGCCAGGGTCGCGGCTGCGCAAAACGACGTCGAGCCGACGGTCGCGGAGGGTGCGGAGCGAGAGGAAAGGGATAAGGGAGTTGAAGCTGGCTGGGGTGCTGAGGTGGCCCACCACTGGTTCGGGCCAGCAGAACGGGGGGGAAAGAGGGGCCCCCGCGTCGCCGCGGCTGGGCGCGGCTCGAACAGATTGTCGACCCATGGAGGAATCCGGCCGAGTTTGAACGGATTTGCCCTGGCCCCCCCCCTTGACCGATTTTCTCGGTCCCGCGCAGACGCCAGCCGCTTTGAGGGAGGAAGAGGAGGATTGGGACTAGGAGGAGGAGGAGAAGGAGAAGGAGGAGGAGGCGGAATTATATCAATACGAATAACAATAATGATACTACGGTTAAGAATAAGCGTACGAATGACCACACAAATAAGAGGCAGACGACTCATACTACTAAGAACCAACATAGTATGATACATAATAGAAATACGATGAATGCGAATATGGATAATACTAAACATATGAATCAGACTAATAAACATACGACGGCAACAACTGATACATGTAATACACATCAAGACTAAACCAACGGATCATGCGACACATAATACAACTACTGCTACGAATCATAAGAGCATTCACAAGACAAATACTCAATATGTTAAGACTACTGCTAATACTATCATTGTTAATACTCATTGTCCGTATTCGTATCATTACGACTGCTCATTTTACGCTTGTGATACTAATAAGACGGCGAATAGCAATGCTACTATTAATACGACGAGTATTGATACGACGATTCGTAAGACTCATACTACGAATAATATGACTAAGACTGCGAACAATACTAACACTCAGACGACGAACACTAATGCTACTGATAGAAAGGCGAAGATGCGGAGGACGAGGAAGAGGACGTTGACGAGGATGATGACGATGCTGCCGATGATGATGATGCTGATGGTGATGATGGTCATGATGATGCTGATGATGGTGATGATGCCGATGATGCCGCTGATGATGATAGCGATGCTGATGCTGATGATGATGGTGATGCGATGGTGCTGATGATGATGATGCTGCTGGCGATGACGATGATGACGACGATGCTGATGCTGATGCTGATGATGATGATGATGACAATGCTGATGATGCTGATGATAATGGTGATGATGATGATGATACTGGTGGTGGTGGTGATGATGAGGGTGGTGATGATGCTGATGATGCTGATGCTGCTGCTGCTGATGATGACGATGCTGATGATGATGATGCTGATGATGCTGATGATGCTGATGATGCTGCTGATGATGATGATGATGATGCTGATGCTGATGCTGATGCTGATGCTGCTGCTGCTGATGATGCTGCTGATAATGCTGATGATTATGATGCTGATTCCGATGATGATGATGATGATGAGGAGGAGGTTGAAGATGAGGAGGAGCAGGACGAGGATGAGGAGGATGCGCAGGAGGAGGAGGAGGATTTGGAGGAAAAGGAGGAGGAGGCGGAGGAGGAGGAGGCGGAGGAGGAAGACGAATACGATGAATAAGAATAAGCAGAAGAATACGGAGACGAAGAAGACGAATAATACGACGAATAAGACGATTAATGATAATCATACGAAACAGAAGAACAATAGTAATACGAAGTGGACGCCGAATACGACGTTGAAACACAATAAGAAGAGTAATGATAAGAAGACGAAGAAACATAATATCAGTACTACTGTTAATAATATTATTTAGAAGAATATGGCGACGAAACATAATCATAAGACGAATCATATTATCATGACTAGTACGATTATATGAAGAAGGCTAATACGAATACTAAGAGGAATGCGATCGATACGACTTATAATCGTACTAAGCAGACGAATACTGATGATACTACCACGAATAAAAAATAAGAAGAAGCGGAATACTACGACACACAATAATAATACGACGAGCCAGACAACTAATACTCATATGACTGATCTAGTTATAAGAATACGAAGCATACGATGAAAATTGATACGTCGACGAACGCGAATACTAATAACACTAAGCATGTGATTAAGACGAATACGACGAATAATAGCACTATAGTATGATTCGGAAGAAGACTGGGAATACTCATGATAACAATACTAGCAAGACACATCATAATAAGACGCAGAAGAACAATACTCAAACGAGTGATACTAATAATAATCACAACAATAATAAGAGGAGGAGGAGGAAGAGGAGGAGGAGGAGGAGGAGGAGGAGGAGGAGAGGAGGAGGAGAGGAGGCGGAGGAGGAGGGGGGGGGAGGAGGGAGGCGGAGGAGGAGGAGGAGGAGGAAGGAAGGAGGCGGAAACGGAGGCGGAGGCGGCGGCGGAGCGCCGGCGGCGGCGCGGCGGCGGATGAGGAGGAGGAGGAGGAGGAGGAGGAGGAGGAGGAAAAAGGGGAGGAGGAGAAGGAGGAGGAAGAGGAGGAGGAGGGGTGGAGGATGGGAGGAGGAGGAGGAGGAGGGAGGAGGCGGAGGAATGGGAGAGGGAGGAGGGAGGGAGAGGGGAGGAGGAGGTCCCAGGGCGGAGGGAGAGGGAGGCGGGGGAGGGAGCAAGGAGGAGGGAGGATGGATGAGGGGGGAGGACTCAGGAGGACGGAGGAGGGGAGTGCGCGAGAGAGGCGGGAGGAGGAGGAGGAGGAGGAGGAGGAGGAGGAGGAGGAGGAGGAGGAGGAGGAGGAGGAGGAGAGGAGGAGCTGGAGGAGGCTCCGTAGCCATTTTGGCTCAATTCCGTTGCGGTTGTGCTCGGGGACATTGAGTATTGGCGGGGGGGATATCCCGGCCCCCGATTGCTTTCTCTGGCGTTCGCCCGCCAGTCATACTCTCCAACAGGTTCAGTCTACGGGACCTTCCTTTTCCCTGCTACTTCCAGCGATGGTGCCAGTTCCTTCTTTCTTGTATGCGCCATGGGTGCGTTCAGAGCAGTGGACTGCCACAGATGGAGGAGCCAAGGGGAAGGGGAAGCAGAAAGGGCAAAAACAAAGGCATGGCATTCTCGTGCTGCGGTTGCATGAAGAACGCTCCTGGCGACTCGTGGTGCTTTCATTGTCACGCTCCTCTTCCTCGCCTGTCTGCCAGTCATCATCTTCCCGCGGCTCAGGGAGCGTGGTCACGTCAATCGTTGCCTCCAGGCGCCTTCTGGCATCCAGTGGCTTGCATGGGAGGCAAGACCTGCGTCGCGGACGTCTCCTCCTCTGGCGTGAAGGGGTCCAAGGGCGGCAAGGGCAAGGGCTTCGGAGGTGCAAGTGCTGGCCCTGGAGCGTCTCAGACGCATGTAGGGCAGGCCCCGCCCATGCCCGTCGGTGCAGTGCCCGATCTGTCCAAGGACGGGGCCACAGAGCTCGCTAGATTGCGCGACAAGGCGGGTGACAAGGCTGACGCCGCCCGCTACTCCGACATCGCCAAGCACCTTGGGGCGGTTGAGGCGCGCGCCAAGATCACTCCTTCGGCTCGTCAGACTGCGCAACAACAGCATGGTCAGGTTAGCCGTCGGGAGAAGCAGCTGGAGACTAAATTGGCAAGATTGGTCCGTTCGCAGTCTGAGGCTCAGGAGCAAACGGAAGAGGTCAAGCGAGTTAGAGCTGAAGTCCATGATGCTGATCGTATCTACAAGGGGGCGGTCCAGAAGTTGGCGGGGGGCTCCTCGCTTGCGCCCGCCCCTGAGACGGCCAAGCTCAAGCCTCAGGATATGCTGTCTGGCTCCGTCGATATCGGCTCCATCATCAACTGCGACATTCTGGAGGACTTCGCCAAGGATGAGGGCCTGGAGCTGTCGGAGCCGGACCGTGAGGAGATGCAGAAGCGCACGGCGGTCCTTTCCAAGGGCGTCTCAGACATGGTGAGGACGCTGTTTCAGCAGGCGGTCGACCAGGCCAAAGCCGCGCAGGCAGCTCATCAGGCTCGCGAGGCCCGTTTTGCGTGCAAGAGGCGTAAACGAGATGGCGGGCTGAGGCCGGTGGAGGCGCTGGTGTTGGCGAGGCCGCCGACCAGCCTGCGAGTGGTGCAAGGGCCGCGGGCGAAGCCGAGGCCCCCAGGCAGCAGGGGCCTGCAGCCGAGGCGTCGGCTCCAGATGTTCGTGCACGTGCAGATGCTGCTCTTCACGCCTCTGAGTGTAGTGCCGCCCCCCCTCTGCTCGAGGGAGGGGGCTTTGTTTGCTTCAGCGCCATGACTCGTTCGGCCGTTCGTCCAGTATTCGACTATTTTGCGTCTCGAACCTCGTCCGTCGGTTCGAAGTCCAGGATGTCTGGGATCAGACTTTTAAAGCTTTCCCTGTTTGTTTTCGGAGCCGCCGCTCCCGGGCCCACGTCTTGGGTTGCCCCCTGGCCCCTGGCGAGGTAGGAGTTGCCCCTGGCCCCCGCGACGTGGGGCCCACGAGGCCCGTGCCCTAGCCTGTCCCCCAGTGGGTCCTCGGACTTCCAGCTTGAGATAGTCATTATTAATGGGAATTCCTGGGGGGCGATGTACAAGTTCTTGGAGTCTACCTCGGCGCATCTTATTGATTGTCAAGAACATCGGCATACTGCTGCCGACGCGGCTCAAACATCACAGATATGGAAGCACATCTGTTTTAGTGTTGTCTGGGCGCCAGGAGTGCTCGGTGAAGGCGGTGGAGTCTCATCAGGAGTCATGGCGGCTGTTCGAGACGGTCTTGGATGCTGCGAGGCATCAGAAGTTGTCCTTGCCGAAGGTCGAGCCGTGGCCGCGCTGATCCACGTGCCTGGCTGCTCGCTCTTCGCCGTCGTGTCTGTCTACCTGTTCCACTCCCAGGGATTGTCGGATGCCAAGCTGGACATCCTGAGGGCCGTCGGTGTTTTCTATGGAAACCCAGGGGCTCGAGTTCGTCGTGGCAGGGGATTTCACTGTTTCCCTTGGTCCTGTTTGAGACCAGTTTTTCGGAGCTTCGCAAAGGAGTTATCGCCCCCGCGGCGGGGCGCGCGCGCTTCCCTCCCGGGGGGGGTGCTCCTGATTGACTCGGCCGAGGCCGATCTGGAGAGGGCCCTCGGGGTCGACCTTCCTGTCCGCGGCATGGGGGGCGAACGCCCCGAGTTGATCTGGAAGCCGGTCTTGAAACCAGCCGGTAAAGTTAAGAGCCCGCGCTTTAGGTCCATCACGTGGCTTGCTGCGCTGTTGAGGGCGCTCAGGAGCTACCTTTTCTGTGAGGGTGCGGTTCTTTCTCCTGCTGGCCGGGGCGTCGCGCTCGACTTTGTTCGCGTGCCAGGCGGCGTCGCTGTGCAGGCCGAGTCGGACTGGCACCGGGTCTGCCAGGCTAGCGTTGGCTTGGCTTCCCGCTGTCTGGAAGATCTCGCCCCCGCGTTTCTGCCTCCCGCAGTTTCGACTTCTACGGTCTCAGGGCGCATTCTGCGCCAGTCGATGGCATCGGGGGCTTGCCCGCCTGTGGTGCTTCTGGACGGCCGAGCGACGATGGGACTCACTGCGATCCCTATGGCAGTTCGTTTCCCGCGGCGCTGGCCTTGCTCGACTCGGTCGATCAAGCCTGTTTGAATGCTAAGGCGGCGGCCTCTGCTGAGGCCAGGGCGGCCCGGCAGGACTGGGTTCGTGAAGGTTTGGGCAATGGTAGTCGCAATGCTCTGCGTGCGATCAAAGGCCCTGGGCCCTGGGCCCCTAGCACTACTCTCTCGGCCGGTGGTATTGTTGTGGCCGACCCCATGGCTCTCTTGAGGGCCGAGGTCGTCAAGTTCGTTTCGATGTGGGGGTCTGGTGATGGGCTCGGCGTTGACGATTCCCTCCGCGAGCCCCTGTCTGTCTTAGATCCGTCTGAGCTGCGAACTTTTTCTAATATGCATCGCCTCTCCAGTGCTGTTAGTGTGGATGGCTTCCGCTGCCGCTGCTTCGCGCTACTCTGCGACGAGGCTCTTCACTGCCGCGCCCTTTGGTTTTGTGACATGGAGGCCACGGGCGCCCTGCCGCTCCACATCTCTTGGGTTCTCGTGGCCCTCCTGGGGGAGGCCTCGAGGGGCTTCCGTCCCATCGGTGTTTTTTCCGAGCTGGTATCGCCTCTGGGGGCGGGCTCGTCGTTTTCATGCGCAGCGCTGGGAGGCCGAGCGTCCTCGGGAGTTCTGGGCTGCGGGGGCCAGCGGGGGCGCCTCTGACGTGGTGTGGCGTCAGGCCTCCAGGGCCGAGGCTGGGCTCAGTCGTGGCGACGTGGCGGCCTTTGTTTTTTGGGACCTCCAGAAGTATTATGAGCACATCGATTTGCGGCTTTTGTTTGCCCGCTGCCGCCAGCACGGATTTCCACTGGTGATGGCCAGGCTGGCCGTCCGTGCTTATTCGACGGCCAGATGCTTGGCCTTGAGGGGGTTCGTCGAAGGGCCGTTCTCCGTCATCGGAGGTATTGTGGCGGGCTGCTCGTTCGCCACGAGCCTGATGGTGGCAGGGTTCGCCTCTCTACGGTCAAATGCCGTGGAACATCCAGCATTTCGAAGGCTCCGCCGGCCACCTCAGCCCTCCTCTGGCGGCGGTGGCAGCGACGCAATGGCGCAATGGCACAGTGGTGGTGGTGGTGGTGGTGGTGGTAAAGATGATGATGAAGAAGAATGAGGAATAATGATGAGTATGATCACGCTGCTGATGATGCTGATGATGTTGCTGATGATGGTGCTAATGCTGATGTTGTTGTTGATGATGATGCTGATGATGATGACCTTTGAATGCGACTGCCCGTCCGCGCGCACGTTTTCGACTTAGGAAAGGGCCCATGAAGTCCCGGGTGTTGGCGAAGAAGGACATCCCGTAATTTGTGCCTCTCTCTCTATGTGTACATGTCCTTCCCGTTTTCTGTGCCTCTGTCTGTCTGTCCCTCCCTCGCCCTCTCTCTCTCTCTCTTTCTCTTTATGTCTATACACATATCCAGCGACCCATCGGTCTCCCACGCCTCGTGCCGCCTTGGTCGCTCCATCTGCCCAGAGGCCAGTTCCCCTGCCCCTGCTTCTCGACGACTCGCGGTCTGGGGGGCCCCCGCTTCGCCTTTGGCCGCACCCGGTGGAGTGCTCCCAGGCGCCCGGCGCCCCAACGGAATCGGCGCGCGGCGGGTGCCGCCACTCTCGGCCTCTGGAGGGGGGCCTCGGGCCTCTGGACGAGAGGCTGGCCCAAGAGTTATGATGTGCCAACCTAGCCTTGGCCACCAGACACAATTTCGAGCACCAGAAAACAGTACCGAAACTCGAGGGTTTTCAGTGTCGGGGCCTGGGAGACACTCGCCCGACATTGTTTCGACACCCTTTCGACACTCTTTCGACACTCTTTCGACATTTTTCTGGGTGCTCGAAATGATTTCTGGGATGCGGTCCTTAAGTAGGAGGGGGACAACATAGCCCAAGGGATCACCACCCGCTACAACCACGCCAGCCCAGCCCGAAGGCCCCACGTTGCCCTCCGTTCCGTGTGAGGGGCGCGCCGACATGGGTGCGGTGGGCGCATGCGAAGGCAGCCGCCGGGGCACTCGGTGGAGCTCCGCACCGGGGCCACGAAGCGTGTGCGAGGTGTGCCGACGTGGGTGCGGTGGGCAAATGATTGTGCCAGTGGGGGGGCCCATCCCGGAGCGCTGACAAGGACACGGACGGAACCCGCGTGCGCCCCCCAGCCCGAGCTTTGGGGATCCCGGAGGCCATCGATCAAAAGGGGGGGAGTCCCTTATCTAGCCGCCCCCCCTCTGGAGCCTCTTGGGCCCCGTCTGGAGATCTCTTTGTGCCATCTTGGGGCCATCTTGAGGCCTCACGCTCGCATCGGACGCAACGAGGCGAGAAGGTCAACATCATAGATGGCATTTTGATTGTTTGATGATTTTGGCTTCTCGGGGTAGGTCCTGATGGGGTTTCCAACAGCACTTGGATCATTCTTGTGGCCCTCTTGGGGTCTGTTGGAGGAGTGCTGTTAGCTATCTTGAGCCATGTTGGGGTACCTTGAGCGATCTTGGAGGCTATCTTGGGCTTCCTGGGGCCCTCTTGGAACCATCTTGGGGGCCAAAAGACCATCTGACACCTCGAGACCCCCCCCGTCTAGGTCCAGCCAGTGGAGGGGGTCGGCGGAGGTTCAAGACACCCCATAGATAGCAAGCCGTCTAGCTCACTCCTGCCCGCTCCCCCAAGACATAAGTAACACCCGAGCCTCAGCATGTTCAGCGGTCGTCTTTGGATGGACAGCTAGTGGGAACCAAAACCGATCCCATGTGCGCGACGCTGGGGCGAGGTGCGCTACGCGTGCCAGGCACGCCACGCGCGCCAGGCACCCCTGGGGCCCGAGCGTGCCAGGCACGCCTGGTGCGCCAGATGCGCCACGTGCTCCGCGTGCGCCAGGTGTGCCGCATGCTCCAGCCTCGCCAGGTGCGCCACGTTCGGGGCACGTGCAGAGTGTGTCAGGTGCGCCTGCGCACGTGACAGCACACATCGGGAAACATGTCGGCCCCCACCATCCTTGTCGAAAGCCAATGCCCATCATTGTGTCTGGTGGGCCTGCGCACAGGTGGCCATACGCCACCACCCCCGCCGTCCCTGCCAAAGGGCACTTAATAGTGATCGCTGGGTGGCCGCGCATGATCCAGATTTAGCCGCGAGGTGCATTATATTTTTTTTTGGTTGGGGATGGTAGCCCTGCGCACGGCAGGCACTATGCTGACATCCCCGCCGTCCCTATCAAAAACATTACAAAGTGTTCGCGGGCCTCACGAACATGACTCAAGACCTTGCTCCGAAGTATATTTTGAATTGTTTTTTGATAGGGATGAGGGGGGCGCATCGGGTTGGCCGCGCTTGCTCAAAATGTGGAGGCAAAGTGCGTTTGCACTGTTGTTTGACAGGGATGGTTGGGGTCCGCATGGTTCCTGGTTGGCTGCCGGTCGCCTGGGGCAGGGGGTGTATATGAATAGGGAACAGTGACAACCCCCTCCCCGAATGGGAAGAGGGGCTCTTGGAAGAGGGAAGAGAGACATCGTTAGAGCGCTTGCGCCCAAAGGGCTGGCGGGATTTGACGTGAGGGTTTACTGCAACATCGTTGATGCATTTTGTGTTTGCAATGGTCCTCCTCCTATTCCCCTCGAGCTCTCACTGATGGCCATTGTGCTCCGCAGCGACAAACAGGGATGCGTTCATGCGCGCACGCCTGGGCCTTGAAGGATGCGCGACGCGAAAACCATACAACATCGCGAGAAGGCGCGACCGTAGCCCCAGACCATTTGTACGTCGCATTTTACGGGCCAGATCGACGTGTGATGGTGCCGGAGCCCGAAATGGGGGGCGAAGCCTGGCGTGAAACACTGCCGCGTTTGTCCCGGATCGCATCCCTCGTCCTTTTTCTTTCCTTGTTCTCCGCGACCGTCGGCTCGGCGCCCTCTTGCGCCGCCGTGACCTGGCCTCCCGTTCCCCAGGGCGGGCGAGCGAGCGAGCGCTCCTCCGGCTCTCGCCCCTTTGGGCGGGACGACAAGAGCCGCAGCCCTTTGAGGAAGCTTTTTTGGCCTCGTGTCAGAGTCACGAACTGTTCCCTCCTCCTCCTCCTCCTCCTCCTCCTCCCCTCCTCCTCCTCACCCTCCTCTCCTCCTCCTCCTCCTCCTCCCCCTCCTCCTCCTCCTCCCCTCCTCCTCCTCCTCCTCCTCCTCCTCCTCCTCCTCCTCCTCCTCCTCCTCCTCCTCCTCCTCCTCCTCCCCCCCAGAGTCACAAATTGCAACGTCTGGATCTCAGAGACCTGCACTTCTGGTGCCTGACGAATCGGCGAAGTGCACCTGAATTGCAGGCGTCTCCAAAAAGACACTCCCGCGTAGGCCCACAAGGCTCGGAGGAGGACGACGACGAGGACACGAGCACGCAGGGGAACGAATGACGAGGCGACAGGGAAGAGGAAAGACACGCAGGGCCCCTGCTCTCTGCGTCTGTATCTCAGGGGGCGATGGGATCCGTCCCTCAGCAAGAGCGCGCAGCGCGGGGCAACTCGGGGACTGCGAGGGTGCGCTCCTCCGCGAGGGTATCTCGCACGAGGCGCTGGCCGCGGACTGCGCGCGACTTTTTTTTGCGCGCGATGGGCCGCAAGGGGGCACGCGCCAGGTACGTTAGCCCGTGAACGCCCCGATCCTGTTGTTGTTGTTGTTGTTGTTGTTGTTGTTGTTGTTGTTGTTGTTGTTGAACATTATTTATTCTAAAAAATAATTATTGTTGGGCCCCCTGGTGCGCGCCCCCCCTGCGCCGCCTAGGCCGCAGCTACATTTTCATCATTTTCGTGAGGAAGCCTCAGAAAAGAGGGTGTGTACAGGATCCGGTTGTTTTGTTGTAATCCGCTTTCCCTTGCAAAAAACAATAGAAAATGACATTTCTTGTTCTAATATAATCAAATTTCAAGAATCCCTTGCAAAAAATAAGGTAAAGTGGACATTCGCGCGCGCAAGACGAAATCCTTCCAAAACCTTAGTGTTCGTAGCGATTTTAACATAAAAACATCAAAAAACCAATGGTTTTTCAACAAAAAAATTGTCAAAATCTCATCCCGCGCGCTCTTGCGGATTCGTAGGAAACCCAACACTTTTTAAACATTTCTGTCAAACGGGCTTTTGCGAGCAACTTTTTCGAACTTCTGCGACAACGGTTGCGCACCTGCCAGGGCCATCATCCCTGTCAAATAATACCATGCGGGACACATTCGTTTTTTCTTCGCGCGCGCACGCCGTCGTCGTCGGCCGCGGGGCCCTGAATAGTAGCCACGGTCGTCCGCATGCCACGAAGTGAAGTGTCCGAACGTCATAGGGCGGGAAGCTGGGTGTGGGTGGTGGCGAAGAGTCGTGTGGATATTTGGTAGAGCTTGAACCGGCCCCCCCACAAAGTGGGGGTATTGGCTGGCGTCGCATGAAAACCCTGGCACTGGTGAGAACACTGAGCGTTCGGGTAAAGTGATTGTTGTTGTTGTTGTTGTTGTTGTTGTTGTTGTTGTTGTTGAACATTATTACTTCTAAAGAATAATTATTGTTGGGACCCCTGGTGCACGACCCCCCCGCCGCGCCTAGGCCGCAGCCTCATTTTCATCATTTTCGTGAGGAAGTCTCAGGCAAAACGGGGGAGTCCGGATCCGGTTGTGTTGTTACGATCGGTTTTCCCTTGCAAAAAATAAGCTAAAGTGGACATTTCTTGTTCTAACATAACCAAACTTCAAGAATCCCTTGCAAAAAATAAGGTAAAGTGGACATTCGCGCGCGCAAGACGAAATCCTTCCAAAACCTTAGTTTTCGTAGCGATTTTAACATAAAAACATCAAAAAACCAATGGTTTTTCAAAAAAAAAATGTCAAAATTTCATCCCGCGCGCTCTTGCGGATTCGTAGGAAACCCAACACTTTTTAAACATTTCTGTCAAACGGGCTTTTGCGAGCAACTTTTTCGAACTTCTGCAACAACGGTTGCGCACCTGCCAGGGCCATCATCCCTGTCAAATAATACCATGCGGGACACATTCGTTTTTTCTTCGCGCGCGCACGCCGTCGTCGTCGGCCGCGGGGCCCTGAATAGTAGCCACGGTCGTCCGCATGCCACGAAGTGAAGTGTCCGAACGTCATAGGGCGGGAAGCTGGGTGTGGGTGGTGGCGAAGAGTCGTTTGGAAATTTGGTAGAGCTTGAACCGGCCCCCCCACAAAGTGGGGGTATTGCCCGCCTCCTATGAAAACCCTGGCACTGGTGAGAACGGAGTGTCCCCACGTGCTAGTAATTGTTGTTGTTGTTGTTGTTGTCGTTATTCGCACCGCTTGCTGGCGCCGGTATACAA